TGTGCTCGCCTTGTGACGTTGACCACAATGTCCATGATCATGATGGTTAATGCACCCGGTCCGTATCAAACTAGCGGGGCTCCCAATGGTATAGCCGGCTGGGATAATGGCAACATAGCCAACACATTCTGAGAGGCTACGAATGTACACGGCCCCACACACCAGGTCACAGGCAAGCATCACACAGGCTACTTGTACCAGGATATGGCGGCCCGCACAGGGGTTGCAGCTAACCACCAAGAGCGGTCGGGTCCGCGATCTCAGATCGCCGCAGGCCAAGCGAAGAACGCGGAAGCTCGCAAAGCGCTCGAGTGCATCAAAGCTGATTGTCGGCTCACCTGTCTGACCTGCGGGCCAGAGGGCGCCACCACCGTCGACACGCTCCGAAAGCGGCAGCGCGACGCGCCGCCTGCTGGGTTATCTGCCGTCAGGACACAAAAAGGTCAAGCCGGAGCCGGCCGATGTGGTCATCTCCGCTGCGGCAGACCCGGCGCGGCAGACCGACCGCTCGGGTCAGTGCTGGGGCGGTAACGTCAGCCCCCTTCTCGCCAGCTCTCACCCTAGAGGTCAAGGGCGAGCTATAGCTCTCGGCCGCCTGCCGACCGGCGGTCGAGGTGCGGCCACGGCGGCGACGGGAGATGACACCCTAAAAATGAGAGCTAGCCTCAACGGGGATAACTACAGATCCGCTGTAGCGCGCTCGGGCTGTTCAGGAAGAGCAGTAACCCTGTAGCTGACATAAGCAAGTAGTTTACTCTCAGTGTTAAGGACAAACATGCACGCTCCACAGGAAGTGTTCGCCAAACGCCTGTGCAATCACACATAAGCCTGAGTGGAGCCTCAGTATCAGCTCGCGCTATTACTGTAAATCCTTGGATTATGCGACAAATGCAAATCATTGGGCGGTACTGAGACGCGACAAATGCAAAGAATTGGGCGGTACTGAGTGCAACAGATAGGCCGATAGCGAGATAGTTTAGACGCCACGGTCATCTCATCTTAAACAGATGATTCTAGTTATTCACACGTGAACTAGCGGGGCTAGTGAGGTGGTCTGGCTATGCTGGCTTCAGCTGCGAAGCGCACAGCAGTGAGTTGGCATGGGAAGCGAAAATTGACTCACGCAAGCTGCCATGTGAACTGGCATTTACATTGCCGTGAGACCGTCTGCAAGGTAAGTACTACCAGTTACCAGAAACACCGTTATGAAAGCACGTAGTTGCTTCTAGGTATTTCATGGGGAAGAGCAATGTTAAATGGAAGATTACCACCCTTTAGATTGAATTTTTGCCGTACAAGTAAGTGAGCAGTTAGATTAGGCATGTCCGATTTCGACCGCAGAGTTCTTTTTGTGCGATGCGTTCTCATGCATTCAAATTCCGATTTAAAATCGCGATTTTCAGTCCAAAATTTTCTCTAAAATTTTCCAGCAGACCAGAAATGGAACGCAATGTGCTGAAGCACTAGATGGCCAGCACTTTCCTTGCCTTTGTCCATATGCACTTAAAATGTTTACCCGGAAGCCTACATGATAACAAGTGATATTAGACGTCATATGAGGGCTTCTATAACGCTAAGAAGGTATCACGATAAAACGTTACAATAATTTCATTAAGATCCAAGGTACTTACCGTATATAAGTTTCGGCGTATGACGTAGATTTTATTCGTTCCATAGTGTTAAAGCCTAGTCGCAACATGCGGCGGCGCTGGTCAGGGACTTCCCAACATCTGTTCCGTGCATGCGATTGACTGAAAGCCAGCGCACTGATGGTGGTCACCAGCGTTGCATTGTATATGTTATTCAAAGCTTGGGCCGGCCTTTTAGACCGGGGACGTGATCGAAGTGGCTTACTTGTTGCATGCTTCGGGTTGCACAGGTGCGCTTCCTAGTGCGCACCTGTGCGCTCCTGGCTAGAGCTACGCGTTATCATCGCAGAGGGTATCTGTAATTACCTGTGCATGTGCCAATCACCCCACTCATTCATCGTTCACATATAATTTTTCACAAAATCAATAGAATGCGACAAACAATAAACGTACCTGAAACAACGCTCGCGTGGATGTTGAATGCCTACCGTTGTCACTTAACCCTTAGTCCAACTCTTGCCTTTTGAGACGATGCCTGGACACCCAGACACGAGCCGCCAGGCGGGCGCCAGCAGTGCCAGGCGGAGAACACTGCGGCTTATCTGAATAACGTCGCCGCGCTCGGGGAGCGCGTTATACGTCGGGAGTCAGCCATGACCACGTGAAAGAGCACAGCCTGACACCATGTCAGGTGAGGGGAGGCTGATGAAGTGTGCGGCGAAGAAATAACTAACCGTCCGTGGTGAAGAGTCTTTCCCGCGCCATGGAAACCGTGAGCAGTCTGTTTGCGGAACAACGGCCGACATTTTACAAACAGTCCGATAAAATGCCGCCATTCTCGGCCAAATTGCCACGGTCTGAAAATAGCCGCGGAGCGCCGGCGGCGCCAAAGCTCTCTGTATACAAGACTGGTGAATCCGCGCGAGTCCTGGCCGTGGCCATGCACTTGGCGCGGAACAGAGCCGACGCAGGGCCTAGCTACATCAGCGCTATCCAGCGCACGCAGGTGCAGTTGTAAGCTCGATAGATGCATGCTTTAGTTAATGTTAGGAGCGCCTGATTAGGCTGCTGGTTGAAACCGTAGCACACGGGACGCAGCGGCATGTCCTCAAAACACAATATTAACGGTGATCATATTCTGAGCTATGACACCGTAGCAATGCGTGCTGCAGCGGAGTGAGTCACTCCATAAAACCAGTCCCCAAAACCGCCAGGCAGGGGGGAGACCATTGACGTAATCTTGCAAGTGAACGTAACCGATTGACTACCCTGCGTGAAAAACGTGACATGAAATAACGCGCATGATTGAAAGCCACTGAGTGAAACTCCTTTCTTTAGGACTGGTGAAACAAGCCATTAATGGCTATGGCGCGACCGAGCAATCCTGTTACTGGCACATCAATCGCAAGACCAGTCGACACCCACTGCCCCAGCGATATCAAGTACACTGCCGTTGCCCTGCCTCGTTACTCGCGAGGAGTGCACGCGCTGTGGGTCAGCTCGGATTCAGAGGTTGGGTCAACCCTGCAACCATCATAGCGTCTCAGAATCAGAGCAGAGGAGACGAAACGTGTTAGCAGCGGTTCAGCGAACTCGGTCCCATATTCAGCTGGCTTGAAGGCCACGCCGGAGGACTGGTGGCGAGAGGTTTATAAATGACAACCAACGACAAACGTCGTTGCCGAGACGGAGGTCATTCTCGGTCCCAGTCGCTGATGCCGATTCTCCAGTAGTGGACCGAGCACCGTCAGGCCGCCGTCCGCGTGACGCGCGCGGCGTGGCCCACTCACAGACGGCTGCCGCGTAGCGCACCGCGGCTCGACACCCGCGCCTCTTACCGCACGTGGCGACGCAAACCGGCACGCCGCCAGCAGTGAACGTCCGCGGCGGGGTCACTGACCTGAGGTCGGCCTGTCGGTGTCGGCATCCTCTCCGCTCTCCCCGCCCGGCGTCGCCATGCCCGCCGACGCCGCGCGTCGCCTGCCGCCCCGCCGGCGGCGGTGGAGAGGCGCCGACGACGGCCGGTGCCACGAGCAGAGCCGACGCGCAGCGGGCCGCGGGGAGGGGCAGGGTCGGAGAGGACACCGCGCCGACTGTGATGGCAGGGCGGATGGGCCACCACCGGCCCACTGGAAGGGGCGGGGTAATCGTGGGATGAAGCCGACAAACGTAGCATCGCACAGGAGGTGCCACATTCTCCGTGTGGCCTACTGTGAGATCGGAAGTGGGATCAGCTTCGGCGCAAATAACCACCATGGCATCCACGTTATCACCCCTCATGGAAGGGTAAAGTTGAATGCGTGCGATTGCGTCGACGCCGTAAGCTTCCTCTTGGAACCTTTGCCGGGCAGCAGTGAACATTTCGAGCGTATTAGTTGGAGGGAAGTCCAACACATTAAAGAAGGCGTGCCAGGATTCATCATTTGTTTCTAGTGTTCTGAGGATTGAGGTGGCGTAGCCGAGGGGGGTCTTTGGGAACCATGCCCCCCACCCCCGTCTTTGGAGACATCGGGCCTTTCGGGGCCGGAGGCCCAGCAGGTGGCTACAATTTGGAGCGCCTGAAGGTATTTTTAAGGCACAAAAACAGGTCTCAGAGGTATCAAAATTAGACTCCCACCTAAAGTTGTTTTCCAGATTAAAAATACAAAAATCTTAGAAGAGACGAAAAACCTTGACTGAGGCTAGGCTGCCTTGACCTAGAGTTGGCCGAGGAGTTTTGGCTGCGGGGCCCATGAGACACAATTTGGCCCCACATAGACGAAATCCTGGCTACGCCATTGGAGAATGCTATGCCGTAGATGCATCACCATAACCCCGGACGTAAGTCCCTGTACTTATATCCATCCGGCATATGCTTAACTCCATCCCCCACCGTAATTGACCCTGACTCCATCCTCTGGTGCTCGGGGCTGATTCCGTCTCCGACTCAGGGCAGCACATCACAAGGTCTGTCGATTCCGATTCCGATACGAGATGTGACCCGATTCTGGAATTGATTTCGACGGTATTGCGGCAGCCGTTGCAGGCATAAACTGATCTGTGGGCTGCACAGGGCCTTCATAGAACTTCTACCTCATCAGCTAACAATGAATTCCGGGTTTCATTTGTTGCACGGATAAGGACTGTCCTCATGAATTTTGTTTTTAATTCAAATTTGAGTCAACTATTTGATGGTTGTGATTAATACAGTTCAACAGCTAACTCTGGCACAAATGCGTTTTGAAAGGAAACGATTCTTCTTCACCGCAAGAAAAACACTTTGACGCTAAAGTCGCCCCTAACCTCAGCCGAAGTCCAGCACTAGCTGGCCAACGAACGCAGGCGCCGCCGCTTCCAAAGACGGACTTGTCGCCTCGCGACCCTGTTTTACACCGGCGCCCACTTAGCATTAGCGGAAGGTGCCCGCCCGGCCTAGGTGTCAGCGCGCGCGTCCCTGTCGGACACCGTGTCGCCGTGGGTATCCAGCGATCGGGCTGCTGATAGGTGCCGGGCTGGGAACATCCATCACGCGGGCAAAAACGACGACTCTGGCCCGCGGACAAATGCCGCGCGGGTCGATCTCCCGTCCGTAGCGTTTCCGCGGGCGACGTGCGGTTCGTTTCTCACGCACGGCAACGAAAGCTGTTATCATGATGCGGAGAGGCATAAAAAGCGGAGGATGCGCTGCAACGCGTGAACTACAATGCAGTGTCGAACGTTGTCTCCGTCTTAGCGCTCGACGTAGAACAGACAACGTTCCAGCGGATTGAGATAAGCGGTGTATCTAGACCATTCCCGCGTGTCGGCAGGACTGATGGACAACATTCCGGAATGTTTATGGGCTGATCGCGACCCAGGGAAATGGTGAAAAGAACGACGTGCGCGCATCTTCATAAATATGATAGCATCCACATCCAAGTAATTGAACGCCTTTTTGTAATTTAGACTAAAGTTCGTCGCGGTCTTGGCTGCAATGTGCGCCATCTTTTTGTGCGTGACCAGAGCTGAGTTTCGCCACTTCACTAGATTGGGTGATAGGGTGAAGATTGGGTTAATTGGATGATTGGGTGAACAACTTCATTACAGTCTCGAGAGCGCAGCCTCTTGGGGATCTGACAACCCCAACAGTTCCCTACATCAGCACGGCTCGCACGCGACGATTTCAGGGGCCCCAAACTGCCCAGGATCAACAGCTGTTTGTGCTGTTTTGTGCTTCTCCGGGAGTGCGTCAACCACGTTAAAAGCGTCCGGGCTTTCTCGGGGATGTCAACCGCTCCGAAGCTCTCCAATCAGCGGAACTCCTGGCCTGTCGGGGCAGTCCGATCAGTGGAACTCCTGGCCTGTCGAGGCTCTCCAATCAGTGAAACCCCTGGCTTGTCGCGGCAGTCCGATTGGTAGAACTACTGGCCTGTCGGGGCTCTCCAATCAGTGAAACTCCCGGCTTGTCGAGCCTCTGCGATCGGTGGAATACCTGCCCTGTCGAGGCTCTCCGATCGGCGGAACCTGACTTGTCGAGGCCCGAGATCGGTGGACCCGATCGGGCGAGGCTGTCTGATTGTTCTCTTGTTATTTTATCGGTGCTTCTGTGGTTTAAGAACAGCTGCCCGAGGAATGCGAATTTAGCTCAAGACCGAAATTCCTATCAGTCGCATTTCGCATCGCAGTTCCTATCAAATGACGCATACACGCACACAGACCACCGTTCTTGTCCAGTACAACTCCCTGTATTTGACAACATCGTTGCCACTCTTAGCACAGCCGCAATTCACAACATAACCGACACCAGCGCCCCTGAGTCAACGCGTCACACGCCGGCGCAGCAGACCGGTGCTGCCGTCGTGACGCGCGCACCGGACGACTGGACCCGGCCGCCGACACGTCACGTCCTGAGACTCCCTCCCGGTCCCGTCCAGCCCGGCCGCGTTACGGCGCGCGGCGGCAGATTGAGGCGGGCGCTCGCCGGCCACCGCTGACGGGCTGCCAGCCCCAACGCCACCGCGTGCCCTGCGTAACGCAGGAGGCGACCGAGCGCTGACCTGACGCGGCGACCCAGCGCCGAAGCGGCTCCAGTGCGCCGCCCTCTCGCTGCCTGACACGGGGTCAGCGCGGACACGGGCAACGTGCGGCGAGCAGCGCCAGGCCAGCGAGACAGGTGATGACTTCGAAGGCGGCGCCGGCTTCCGACGGCAGCTCCCGCGCCAGGGTACACCAGCACGGATCACTGATGGCTCAAACGCAATAGGTCTAACCGCTGACGGCAGCTCACGAGACACGGCGCGCCACGCTGACCGCCGGCGGCCAGTCCGATGATGACTACACCACGTGTCGTGATGACTCCACACCACGTGATGGTGACTACACCGCGTGCCCCTCGGCTGCAGCCGGTTTGTGCTAAGGAACCGCCGCCAGGCAGTCGCACTGCCGGCCAACGGCTGCCAGCCCGGCGGCGAATCTACACCGCGCCTCGCCGAGAGCCAAACCCGAGTTTCCTCCGCCATCCGACGATGTGGCCGTGGTCTGCTGGTGATCTGACGCTGGTCTGGCAGTCTGATGGTCTGATGCTCTGGCGGCGGTGTGGTCAGAACCGTGGCCTGGACTCTGACCCGAGACAGGGGCCCGTCGCGACTCCGCCGCCGCAGGCTCAGCGGCGGAAGCGCCGCGGCGGCGAGCGGTAGCGCCGGTCGGGACCGCCGCGCTGCAGCGGGTCCAGCGGACGGGGCATGGCGGCCGTCGGCGCCGGCAGCGGCCACTGCGCAGCCGGAGCCGGCTGCTCCCACGGCTCGGCGCGAGGCTGCACGCCCATCACGGCCGCCGCCTGCAACTGCAGCGCCACCGACTGCTGCTCATGCTGCGCAGGCGCCGGTGCCACCGCCGCCTGCTGCTGCTGCTGCTGCAGGTGCGACAGCTGCTGCAGCAACAGGATCTGCTGCTGGATCTGCTCCGCGCTGAAGCCCGGCTGCTGCGGCGCGCCGAGCGCGGGCTGGGGGAGCGGCTGCCCATTCAGCGCCGGCGGCTGCAGCTGCTGGCCGCCGGGCGGCAGCTGCTGAGTCAGCGGGCTAGCCATTGCCGGGTGCTGCATGAGGTGGCCGCCCGGCGCCGGCGGCTGCTGGTTACTCGGCGCTGGGTGCTGCATCTGGCCGTACGGGCCCGGCCGCTGCACCGGCTGGCCGTGCGGCGCCGGCTGCTGCACCGCTTGTCCATTCACCGCCGGCGGCGGCTGCTGGCCGGCCGGGTACGGCAGTCCCGGCCGGGCGGCCGGGTACGGCGCCGGCTCGGCGACCGGAGCCCGGGCAGCGCCCCAGGCCGGCGGCCGGCCGTCCGCCACCCCAGGCCCGCCCCCCGCCGCCATTGGCTGTCCGGGAGGAGCCCCGGGCGGGCCGGGCGGCGCGGCGGCCGGCGGTGGCTGGCTCCAGTGAGGCGACGACGGCGGCAGTCCCAGGCCCGGGTACGGCCCAGCCGGCGCCGGCGGCGGCAGCGGCGGTGGTGGACCCTGCACATGACGCTGTCGGGCACGGGTTACCTGCCGACAACGCGGGGCCCGCTCAGTACGGCGGAGGGAAGGGAGTGGGAGTGGGTCGTAAAACGACGCCAGGATGGCAACAGGATCGACGATAGATGCCAAAAGATTGATGGCGTGGCAAAACAGCCGATATGGATGGCAAAATGACCGCTAGGGGTACCGAAGGATCCGTGGCGAGGCTCAACCGAGCAGTAGAGTCGTATAACGACCCACGGAGTCAAAAGGAGAATTGTTTAGAGCTGTACATGGATAGCGGGGTGGCTTAAGTATCCATGGGATGGTAAAACCGTCGATGAACAGGACACTGAAAAACCCTGAAGTGGACTTCGTGGACTGGAGACACTTGGTACACGAGACATACAAGTGATATAGATATCGCGGAAACAAGGTTGGTACGCATGCTGCCATTCAGTAAATGGGCTTAGCTGTTTACACCGATCTGCAAATATGTCGCGACGTATGCTCGAAACTTCTCGCTGGCTTCTTCCCTAGTTCAATCACCACAGATATCGCTGCGGCCCGATACAGCTTAGAAAAAGTGAGGTGCAATGCTATCGTAATAATCGGGACTCACACACTGAGCAGGGAAATCTCACAGCGCCGCCTGCATCCCGCCCTGCCAAAAGGGACAGACACCGCAGGGAATCGAACCCCGCACTTTGAACTGTGCTGCGAGCGGTGCTGAGCCAAGTTTCTGTTGTCCCATACACGGAACCCTATCAAACAGGGGGGGGGGGGGGGGGGCACACGTACTTCCTCGGCCGCCTCCCGGGCCATGGCGGCGGCGCGCGCCTTGGCGTCTTCCACTTGGGCGCTGAATGGAGCACTGCGCGGCACACACTGCTTCTTCACGGGCGGCGCCAGAGGCGCGGCCGGTGCCGGCTCAGCCGCCTCTGGCTCCGGCTCCGGCTCAGGCTCAGGCTCCGCCGTCGCCGCCGCCGCCTCGGCGCCGATGAAGAACTCCTCCGAGTAGTCGGCGGGCGAGCCGACGGCCAGCGGCGGCGGCGGCCGGCTCAGATCCACCTCGAGCGGTGGCGCCGCCTCGGCCGGCCGCGGCTCCGACTGCGGCTCCGACTGGGACTGGGACTGCGACTGCGACTGGGACTGGGACTGGGACTGCGACTGCGACTGCGGATGCGGCTGCGGCTGCGGCTCGGCGGCCGGCGTCGGCTCGGCGCGCGTCGCCTCTGGTGTCGGCGCGGAGGCGGCGGCCGGGATCTGCTCGACGGCGGAGCGGCTCTCGGCCACCACCTCCATAATGCGGATCTTGAGCGCCGCCTTCCCCTCCATCGGCAAGCGCTTGAGCGCTTCGGCCACGCTGAGTGCGAAGCGGGCGTCCGGGTCGCGCACAGTGCGCTGCAGGGCGGCGATCTCGGCGCCGGCGCCGGCCGGGCCGTCCCCGCCGGCCGACGGCGCCTCCAGCCGCGGTCGCTTGGCGTCCGGCAGCCCCGCGGCGCGGACCTCAGCCGGCGGCGGGCTCTCGAGCGGCGCGGCCGGCGCGGCGGACGTCGCCGCCGCCGCCTGGGCGGGAGTCGGCGGCGGCTCCTGGGCGGCAGGGGTGGCGGCGCCCTGGAGAGGAGGCGCCGACTCCGCGGCAGCAGCGGCAGACTCCGGCACGGGGACGGCCGACTGTTGGGACGGTGCGGCGGCTCCCAGGGCCGCTGCGGAGGCTGCTTCCGGCTCGGAGGGCGCCTCGATCCCGGTCCGCAGTCTGCGTCCAAATCGGATCCGATACAGTGAGACAGAAGCGCGCCTGCTTCAGACACACACGGCAGCAGAGGTGCGCCGAACGGAAGCAGCAATCGGGGTCGGTTAGCACTTGGAACACACCCAGATCACCTGAGCACTGCGACCGGCCCTGTGATCAAGCCTGTTGGGGGTGACAGAATATTATGAACGCAGATAGCGGCTCGGCATGTCAGCCGGAGATGTGACAGCTGGTGCACTGTTACTGCGGGAAAAACGGCGGCAATTGACCGACGTACAAGACACATGAAGCTTAGCTCAGCTGTCGCATTGCCACTGGGGAAAGAACGGTAGTGATTTAGGGACTGACACGACATACCTAACTAAGTTCAAATTCTGCAGTACGACGGCGGAAAAAGACAGCAGGCAGCCGATCAGGACAAGGCAGGAGCAGGACAGCAGCGGTGGCTGACCCCGGTCGTCCTAGCCTCCTGGCTACCTCAGAGGATCCTGGGTCACCTGTCACGCGCATTGCCGCCTGTCTGAGGCTCCTCCAATCGACGGAATCCATCGATGTTTATCCATTTACAATCACAAAGGAGCAAATGGTAGGCTTTACGCCCGTGTGGTACGACTCAACTGATCTCCTCGTCTGTGTAGGACCCGCATCTTGTCAACTAGATAGGTTTTTAAAGGCCACTTCGTGCGATGACTTGAAAATGTGACTTGGAGACGTGACTAAAAGTTTCTGGCAACGTCAGTCGACAAACTTAATTTCGAGAGCGTTCAGCGCACGGTTGACCCAGCGGGGAGCATCCTAATCCGCTCCCCATGTTTGCGATGTTACACTATCCAGCTCACAAACAACAGCAAAACATTCTATTTCTATTCTATTCAACTGTCAAATATATAATGACGTTCCGTTTATCATGCAGTCTCGACAGTTAGTTGGTGAGAATGGCCGACGATTCCGTGGTTGATGACCTCCAACACGCCGATGTCAGTCGACCACGTGGACGTGACATGCGCCAACACAGGAGTCATTGTCGTTATTGACAAACTGATTTAGTTAAGCGTTTTGTCTCGCAAGTATCCTGCTTCGCCGACAAATTCTTCATATAAACAAATCAGTTGACCTTGTATGGAACTACTTACATGGTTTGGTACCAAACTGTTCAACAAGCCTTGCTCCCGGTAATTATGTGCGACTGTATGTTGAATATGTACTAAAAAAAACTCCCAGTGTTCGTTGCTATATGTATGGGCACTGATGACAAACTGTGTTAACAACAAATAAGAACTTAATATTTCAAGGCCGCTCGCCACCGCCACCGGCGATCAAGATGTGCGATCTCCGGCCAGAAGTGCGATGAGGTTCCAAGATCGCCTCAACATCGCGTCGCACTGGCGATGGAGACGCCACGGGGCTAGTGTAGCCAGAGCCACGCGGCGACTTCGCACTCAGCGGAGCCCGACGCAACTTCTTACCACTGGACTATAAATCGACCGGAAATAACATTGCCCCAGCATTGCAACCCACGAAGTGCATCAAGTGTGACCGCGACCTTTGTCCGCGCACCGGCCTACAGTGGGCACTCACGCCAAAGCTGCAACAAGTCAAATCGGGCTGCAACAGCGAGAACACAACGAAGATCAGACCACCGGCCGACGTCTGGCTCTGAGGGATAGGAACCGGCACTCATACCGAATGTCGCCGCATCTGCAATACAGGACCGGACGACGAACCGGGCTGTACCCGTGAAGCCGGGTATTCCGCACCTCTGAAACAGCTGAACCCAGCGCGCGAAGCTGGCAATGGCCACACCCGTCGCGGCCGGCTGTACCGCGGTTCCTAGAGAGGGTCACGGGGTCACCCTCCGACCTCCGACCCGACCACCGTCTCACGCTGAGCCTCGCTCGAAGAAGGCGTCCAGCTGTCCCTATCAGATGCGAAACCATGTGCCTGCATCCAGGGACTGTAGTGTTGAGACGCGAGCACGTCTGAGCCGCTGGCGCAGCGGAGAACCACCGGGCCACGCGGGCGGGGCCCGGCAGAGGTCACTCCTCCCGGCCGCAGAGGAACTCCCGGGCCGCCCCGCTCTCTCTCCGTCATAGTCGGGCTGTCAAAACCGTAACACTGACGCATCAGCCGCCACACGTACGTCGCCGCCGGAGCACCTGCACCGCGACGCAGTCGCCGGCAGCGGCAGACGGACCGCAGGTGCGGACCGCCGGACGCCGACACACAAACTCCTGCCGCCTAGAGACGCACGAACTCCTGCCGCCTAAAGGTACACAAACTCCTGCCACCTAAAGATACAGAGACTCTATCCACCTCAGGCACACTGACTCCTGCCACCTAAAGACACAAACTCCTGCCACCTAAAGACGCACGAACTCCTGCCGCCTAAAGACACAAGAACTCCTGCCACCCACAGAACAGCCCCGGCCGCAGCGCGACACAGATGGCGTCGCCCGCGGCGGCGGCTTCAGCTCGCATCCCTGGGCAGTCAAGCGACGGACGTGAGGGACTCGGCTGGGCGCCGTTTACCGTTTGATCATGTACGCGGCCAGCAGCAGGCGGCGCTGGTCGGGCGCGGCGCCCGGCTCAGAGCCCAGGATCGGCTCCAGCAGCGCCGCCAGCTGCTCTGTCGGCACACCCGTCTGGCGCGACAGCTCGGTCAGCTCCGGATCGGCCGCCGCCGCCGCTGCCTGCGGGCGGGCCGGCCGTCAACGACACCCGCCGCCGCCTGCCGGCCAGCGCTGGCTCGTCGTCTGCGGGGCGGTTTGTGAAGGTCTCCTGCGACGGAACGGCACACCACACGGCCGTCGACGCCACCTGGGAGGCGGTCCAACACGGCAAGGGCGTCAGCCGTCACCCATCGCCGCCGTGGGGCCACGCTGCCTGCAGAGGGGCACTAGCTGGCTGGTTCTCGTGACGTTACGCTGGTGCCAACGAATGTAAAATGCCCGTGACTGCAAATAGTGGTGATGATCATCCTGGTGAAAGGTGAAAGAGCTACTGAAAGCCATCTGAAAACTTAGCTCAGCTGCTCCTCGCAGTGACAGCTGGCAACAGATGATATATTACATAAGATATCGCACCCAATGCAGGCAATCAGTGGGTTAAACCAGCTCCAGCACCTCTCCAGAAAACCGTCGCGGCAAAAAATCACTCGTCGCTCACAAGAAAGCGCAACAGAACCCCGACAAAACATCCCTCCAATGACGCCATATGGCGTGCTAGCCGGCTAGTCGACCCGCGATCAAGACAGCACGCGCCATAAGCCGATCCACCACCACCTAACGGGGTACATCGCCGGTCCCGCGTCCAGCCTGTAAATGCTGGGCATAGTATCAGGTCAACTGTGCACGTTGGAACAGAAACAACTGTGCGCGGTGCCTCATGATCCATAACCACTTGGGTAACCTGTGAACAAATGAACTCGTGCCCAGCTAGCGACTTTCCCTGGGCACGACGGCAATCCGGGATACGTGCAAATATCTGAAAGCAAGCGGCAGACTGCATCAAAATCGCTACTTGTCTTCACGTACCTCCGCACTAGACACGTCACGGATACAACCACTACCCTCCGGAAATGGACCTGAAAAACCGTGCGAGACGGGAACTGGTCAGCAGCGCAGATATCCGTCCCGATGTGAGGCCTCTCCCGCGCTAGCGCCTGAGGGATACGGCAGCTCAACATCACCATGACTCCCACGTACGCGCCAGACCCGGTCCGGCTCCGGACCAGGAGGCAACCTGAGCCTAAGTAAGGGATGGGTCGTGGTTAAGGGAGCCGGACGCGTAAAACAGCGGGGCGCACGTTCACATCAGCTGATCGCCGGCAGTCCGAATACAACCTGGTCTGCTGCGAAATACGTGTGATTTTAGATAATGCATCCTGGGGTGTCAATCGCGTGCACATCTTCCGAACGAAGTCAAACCAAAATACGCCGGCCAGTGTGACAACTTCGCACTTGAAACGCGGAAATGACTTCGGCGACGGCGACATATCGGCTCCAATCAGCCATTCCATGGACCAGGCCCTAGGCACCACATGAGAATGACAGTGTTGACAGCTAAACGCGGTCACATCATCTGACCTGCCGAGTCACTGCCATCCGCGCCGGGGGGGGGGGGGGGCGACCGCCTCACCTGCGGGGCGGGGCCGGGCGGGGGCCGTCGCGGCGCCATCACGCCGTTCTGGCCGGCGGTCTCGCCGAGCGCCGACGGCGGGTACGGCTCGAGCGGCGGCGGCTGCCCGGGGTACTGCTGCTGCTGCAGGGGGCCAGGCGGCAGCACCAGCGGCGCCGCAACCGACGGATAGCCCGGCTGCGGCGGGTGGGCAGCGGCCATGTACCCCGGCTGCGGCTGGTACGGCGGGTACGCCTGCTGCTCCTGAGAAGGTGCCAGACAGCCTTGCTGCTGCTGGTGCTGCTGGGGTGTCAGCGGGAAGCTCGGCTGCTGCTGGGAGCCCGGCACGTACACGTGCTGCTGCTGTTGCTGTTGGGGTGGCACTGCTGTGTAGCCCAGCTGCTGAGTCTGCATCAGTGGATACAGCTGCTGCTGCGGTAGAGCGCCTGAAGTCATCAACAGTACAGTCAAATCCCAAATGCCAGATCACTTGGCATTTTGCAAAGGAGCTCAAAGATAGCAGGACACAAACTAGGATCACCGCATGAGGTTTAGTTATTCGATCAGATTGGTGTTGAAAGCTGGGCCTGCTTCCTGAAACTAATAAACTATTGCTCTCTCCATTTTGTAAATTTTCAAGTACAATGAATGCATGTCAGACTATGAATAAATGGGCGCAACTACACCTTTTACGCAATCTGGAGTGAAGTGATAGGCAAATAGGCCGAACTACAGGTCTTACGCAGCTGGGAACAACAGAGCAATTTCTAGAACGGTCTCCGGAACCGTTGTACTTCCGTCGGCTGATTGTTCTACAAACTGACAAGTGAAACGCAGATTTTGACGCACATTGTTTGCTCGAACTGCGTGGCTTTGGAGGACCGCCGGTCCCGCTGTGGCAAACGTAGTTCATTACCGAAGCTGATTAGCAGATAAAGCCCGAGAATTCCGAGAAACCACGTGTCCTCGCTAGACAGATAATGGGCACTGTCTAACGCCCGATGGTCAGCATCTCATGACAAATCGCAATTACCATCAGAAGCCACTCACTCTCGACTTGCACCGTTCCCTTCCTCCTGTTCCTCTCATAACAAGGTAACCGCATTAAATTTTCTCAGTTGACATAAAACTGGAAAAAGCGTGCCCAATTCGCTACATTATCTTTGTGATGCAGGGGAGTGAAGCTGCTGGCTTTTACCTGCAGTCCAGCTGCCCTGACTGACATGCACATAGCTGTCCTGGCACCACCATCACCCGCGCAGCCGCAGTACTGCAGCGCACGCGCACAGCACAGTTGATAGTGATCTCGCGCTTAGGGCAGTCACGCCGCTGACGTGTGCGTCCTAAAATCGCCCGCAAGACCAGACTGACATCTGGTGTCTAACATCCTTCTAGCTGTGCCTAATTAATCTAATGACACCACAAATTATTAATTATTCCCTAGTTATCTATGAATGAAATATGTAACTCTGGTACAAATCATGCAACTAAAACATACTTATTAAATATGACCAAGTTATTAAAGGAAACCTCATGAAAAAATGGTGTAACAACAGTAGTAAAAGCAATTAAGTCAAAACTAAGTCGCAGCCTTAATAAACAATCACCTGACACCACTTTTATAACCAGCAAACAAATCAATGATGCCTACTGAAAGTTCATGAGCTTTATTATTACCTGACAAGGTTGAAGTTGGGAGTCCCCCATTAAAATATTTGAACCACGACAATGCAGAACTGTGACCTGTGAATGGTCAACAAATAAAAGCATCCATGCATAGCCCATAAGTTTCAGGGCACCTGCATCCTCCACCCAGGCACTGCTGACAGTTTCTTTCATTGCTCTGAAAACATGGTCTGGTTCCCTGCCTATAGCCAAGCACAAAGCCCCACTAAGGGGACAAGATTTGACCAAACATTTATATCATGGATGCATGTTGAATGTTACAACTTTCCATACAACAGTGCCAGAGTAAAAGAAAACTTTTTTGATGTTGTTTGATGCTTGAGACTAAATGAGATAAGCAATGCACTTGAACATTTGTAAAGGGTCAAATGATTGTTTCATACTCCCTTAAAACCATGGGTATCACTGATGTTCTAATGTTTCCTTTTGGCAGGTTCTTAAAGCAGTGGGCACAAGCCACAACCTTCCATCACATCATTGGTTGATTTGGCTAATAACCAGGTGCCAAACAGGTAAACCAACCAAAGTAGCCACAAACAGCTGACTCACACCTGGGTATTAAGTTCACATGAAATTGCTAAACCATTAAAAAGTTATAACTATTAATTTTGATGAAATCATTATTTGATAGGTTCACTTTCAGTCATACAAAACAAGACACTTTTATCCTCAACAACATATTAACACTGTGCCAAAACCTGCATTTACCAGCAGCTCTTTAATCTATCCATGAAAAAGTACAGCAAAGACCTGCAGGCTGTTGCAAACATGATCAGAATGATGACACACATCAGAGGTTCTCATGCCTGTTTGCTTGCTATCCAGAGATACACTCATTCAACTACAAACATTGCATTGGGAACATCTCTAATGAATATCCAAAAAAAACTGAACTCCAATTACATATGAATAAAGAATCCTCCAATTACGGACTACAATGCCAGTATGCAATTTTGCATAGTGCCAGCCACTGTTTAACACTTCTAAGTACAAAAGTAGATCTGTAGCACAAGCAATTCCAATATCAGTTTGCCTTATTTGTCAGCCATTAAAATAATGAAATGAGATCACAAGCATGCCATATTTTTACATACCACTATTCAGGACAAGCTGACTGACAGGGTTGGCCTGCTGCTGAAGACCTGGGGCAAATCAAACATATAACATTGCATTATCTATGAATTACAACACTATAATGCCTTTTATTTCTCATATGTAATGCACTTATATGACACAAACATAATTAAACAACAAAACAATGATGACCTGGCAACACTGAATGGCTGGCAATACAGTAAAACACTGAACAATTCACTTATGCAAAAGAATGATGCCCATGTAGTAAAATGATCTCAGAAATATAATGCACTATGTCACTGATAACAGAATGCTATGGCATTACCAACATGCATATGCACCTGCAATCTCCACAGCAAGCCTATGTTGATAGTAATCATAATATTTGCCACCAAACAAGAATGAGAACTTGGGATTGTTTTTCTGCCTTCCCCTTGTCATTTTTTCAAAGTCTTGTCCATTTCTTGCCACAAACACAGCTAGCTTATCAATCAGCAGCTTTTTGTCAGCTTCTGAAAAAGCACACATACACTAACAATATGCATCACAGCCTTTGAATGTGAGTAAGCAGGCCAGTTCATCAGGCTTATCAGGTTCAAATAACATGTAGGTTTGGAACATTCTATGAAATTTGTGTTTCTAATAGAACAATATCAAGACCAAAACAAAGTTGAAATATTATAATTATCTATTTTCTCCAAATATGGTCAATAATAAGAACAGCTCTGAACTGCATTTGTAACTTAAAAATATGGTCAATAATAAGAACAGCTCTTTACAGGCTGAACTGCATTTGTAACTTAACTTAACATCCATTGCACCTGAATCATGCCTGATGTTTTCTTGGCTTTAAAAGACATAATATGGAATGCCTTCGCTCTTTCATGTGGTGGCACACACATGTTTGGTCCCCACATGATGCAGCCTGCCTATCTGTTCCACTTTTGTTTGATCTGTTACCAAACACAAACGATGTCAAACAACTGTCAAGGCATATAACGAAGGTAACATGTTTCACGCACGGTGGGGTTACAAAGAAGGGAGCCCACCGCTGATCATGTGGATGCCTTTCCATAATCCAATTTCAAGCGACACCATTGTTTCCATAGATACCACTCAGGACAAATAGGAATGCAACCTATAGAGACGATTGCCTACAAAACACGTCCACACAACCGTACCTGCAGGAGGCGGAGGAAGCTCCATGGTTAAGTTAAACTGGAAGAATCTGCTCTGTCTAGCATTCCCGGCCTTGGCCTCCTTAGACGAGACGGGTATCCCGACACGATCGTCAATTTAGCAGCAGATTGATATCAAACTGCCGGTTAGAGATTGCGGGGCGTCACAATCGCCTTCAAAGGTAGGGTCTAAAAGACCGGCATATGACGCAGACACACAAGTTGTCCAAAACGGCTCATCTGAACGCTTTGGCATTTTTACCAATCAATTTCACACATAAAGGTGAGTCATTGGGAGGTAATATCGAGACCTGAGCTAAGGCTAAACACCTCTAAAATGCGAAGGGAAAATTGTACATGTAAATCCAGCCAATCAGATCTCAGAGCTCACTGAACTGATCGCCACCAAACTTTCACCATTGGATGCCCCATACCTGATTCCCTCTTACAGTTCCAAATTTGGTGACCCTTAGGTCAGGTAAAAGTCACAAAATTTCGTGAAGTCCGAAATGCTTACTTGCAGGCAGCTTATAGCTCAGAACACACCACGCTGATAGCTGCCAAACCGTACCATTCAGTACGCCATCTACCCTAATGCTCTGTCAAAGCTGCAAGTATGGCGCCATGTACAATTATGACTTTTCATTTATGTTTGTTCCCAGGAAAAAGTGCGGCTTAGGTAGGCTGGCTTTATGAGGTTAAATTTCTCCTTAGTACTGTGTATAGTATTAGTATCTCCTCTAGGTATTGTGCTGAAAATCACGCGCTGAATTGTGCATAGTATCGCCATGATTAACGCCTCCGCGGAGAGGAAATTCCATCTCATACGGCCAGCCTAACCATGCTGCACATTTTGCTGTGAACAGACATAAAGAATGAGACATAAGTATTTATGGTGCCATACTTGCAGCTTCAACAGAGGATTAGGGTAGACGGCCTGCTGAATGTTGCGGTTTGACCGCTATTGGCGTGGTAGATTCTGAGCTTTAAGTTGTCTGCAAACAAGAATTTGGACCTTGTAAGATTTTTCGACTCTTGACCTGACCTCGGGTCACCAAATTCGGAACTGCAAGAGGGATCAGGTATGGGGCATCGAATGGTGCAAGTTTGGCGGTGATCGGTTCAATAGGTTCTGAGATCTGATTGGCTACATTTGCATACAAAATTTTCCCTTCGTGTTTTCGAGGTGTTTGACCTCAGGTCAGCTCTCGATACTGCCTCCCCATGACTCATCTCAATGCACGGAATCGATTCGCAAAAGTGTCAAGGCGATCGGACGAGCCGCTTCGGAAAACTTGTGTGTCTGCGTCATGTGCCGGTTTTTTGGACCCATACCCTCGAAATTTGATGTGCAGGGCGTTCTCAACACGCTGATTCCAAAAATCGCTGCTTTTCGGGTGGAATTTTGCGTAACTTCTCAGCTACAGGATGCGTAACATGCCAGTTTGATATTGTGGGGCGTCTCGATTGCTTTGAAATTGAGTGTGCAGGGGCTTCTCAAGGCACTAATTTCGAAAATCATAGATTGTGGGGAGGGATTTTGCGTAACTTCCGAGCTACACGGCGCGTGACACGCAGTTTCATATTGCGAGGTGTCTCGATTTCCTCCAAAGGTGGTGTGCGTGGTCTTCTCAACACGCTGATTCCGAAATTCACTGCCTTTGGGGTGGAATCTTGTGTAACTTCCGGGTTACGAGACTCATAACATGCCAGTTTGATATTGCGCGGCGTCTCGAAATTAAACTATGCGTCACGCGTCATGTAACTGGGAAGTTACGCAAAACCCCTCCCCACAGGCTATGATTTTCGGAATTAACGCCTTGAGAAACACCGCGCACCGAATTTTAAAGCAATCGAGACGCCTCACAATACCAAACTGGCATGTTACGCAACCTGTAACTCGGAAGCTACGCAAAATCCCACCCAAGAGGCAGTAATTTTCGGAATCAGGCCGTGCACACCAAATTTGGAGGCAATCGAGACGCTCTGCGACGTTGACCCGGCGATGTTACGCGCCTTGTAACCCGGGAGCCAAGCAAAATCGCGCCCGTCAACTCACGATTTTCGGAATCAGCGTGTCGAAAAGGTCCTGCACGCCAAATTTGAAGGCGATTGTGACGCCCCGCAACATCCAGCTGACAGTAGGATATAAATATGTTGCTAGGTTGACGGACGTCATCTCGACACGCTACTACACTATTTCCGCCATTTATATATTATCACATATGTTGGCTTACCTATATGTCGGCCAGGTACCACCGTACCACATAGTCCGCTCCGCGTTGGTATGGGCCTGAGGACACGCTTCCCAATCAGCGCTATAAATCGGGGTCAGAGATTTAAGACTGGTCGGGGGCCTTCTATCTGTTAAGGGTCCGCAGCATCTAACAGAGGGCCCGGTGCCCGCACGGGCGCCGAGCCGACCAAGGGAAGTGTTTGATGAGACCGGAAGAGAGGTCCGGGCGGCCCACCGGAACTGACTACCAACGACCCGGTTGGAGCTCACAAGGACCCGGGGGACTGGCTGTAGATCACATGAGGAATCGTGGCCTGTAGGGACGTGACCTGAAATATCAGTCAGAGGTCCTCCTGCACCATTTTAGGAACCCTTGAGACAATGCGAGTATCTAAGTCGGTCAGAGACCACGAACACCGAACAGTCGGCTCCACGTCCGCCTGAGCCTTTGATAACCATTTCCAAGCAGAAACGAGGCGGGGGTTCTCGATTTGCGATGTTCGGTGACACAATGAGGGGCCCCTGTGTCCGTTAGGGGCCACAGTGCCGAACAGGCGTCCTGTTGAGGCAAGTGGCCCCTGGTCGGAGCGTTGTTTGAGGGGGCCCGAAGAGGGGCCGAAAGTTCTCTCGAGACCAAAGATCAAAGGCCCGATGGAATGAATGAAGAGTCCGAAGGGCTGGCTGTAGGTCAATTTAAGGACCCTCGCCCAAAGGGCCGTGATCTCAAATGTCAGTAAGATGATCTCTTGCACAGATGGGGACCCTGAGACACGTGATCTGCGTGTTGGTTTGAGCTCTGGGGGCCCATTTCCCAAGCAGGGATGAGGCCAGACCCGCGATTAACGTCAGTCGAGCTTCTGTATCGTTCAAGGGCCCTCAGTACCTAACAGGAAATTATGTGTCAACAAGGGGCCTCGGATCGGTCAGAGAGAGATTTGTTCAACAGGGACGGGGCGGGAGCCTGAATGGCAGATGCTCTCTTGCGTTGGCCGGGGTCTTCTGACAAACGAAGGAGCCATAAAAAATTGTGATGAGTGCTCACGTTCAGGTAATAGAAGAGTCTTGCGCCAGTCAGAGTCCCCAATACCGAACGGTGGGCCCCCCAACCCGCTTCCAGCATGGGCCCGTTTTCCCAACTGGAGTCTATGTGCCAATTATTTGATCACCTGCGGTGAGCAGGGATGCTGTCGCCTTAATGACGGTTCATGCGTCGAGCCGGGGTTAACTACGCGGATCAAAATGCCTCCAATGTCAGGGAGCAGACCAGTGTGATATGATATATTCCTGTAAGGGCCCCCGGATCGGCCAGGGGAAGCCGCCCCGTGTCGCCAGAGTGACGCCGGAAAACACACCGCGGAGGGATAGAATAGCCTCTCAGCTCTTGACCGAGAACGGCAATATGCCCCGTAGTGTTGTGTTCAAGGATATTCCCTTTTCCGGAAATAAATAAGAAGCCTCATTAGTGCTGAATGGGGTGGGTTGAAATGAGTTAAAAATGCACAAGGCCATCCCGTGTCTCACGGAGAACGTTCATCAATTTGTAGAATCGACCAGCAAAGCAAATACGATCAAAATGTTTGAGCCTGCGCGCCGGGTGTCGACAGTGTAGTGGTGAACGCGCCCGCGTTATCCACTAGCTGAGTGCGTCATAAAGCCACAATGACACGACCGTAATCTCGGGGAGCAGGGATGGCGGTGGCATGGGTCGCAGTTTTTGTTAAACCGAACACCATTGGCCACTGCATGTAACCGGGAAGCAGGCGCCGAGCGCGCAACAATGACCATAGTAAACTGATGTTTCTGGATGTCCTTCAAAATTAGTTGTTACAGTTCAAATATTACACTCGGCGAATCTTTTTTTACAACTTTGAGGATATCCTTTCGACAGATTAACAGTTACAGCAACACGACGAATAGAAATCTTACCTACACTCTTCCGGTTCCACAACCAGATTCCAGCACCACTTCGCGGTGCTGAAAAACCAAGTCAAGCAGTCACAAATGATGCGGGTAAAAGAAGCACACATCCCAACGGGCACACAATGGAAGCAGAGCTCTCAATAGGGCCAGTGATCGCCATAAAACACATTTCTTTACGGTTCGGCCGTCAGCATGGTCTGTCCAAAGCAAACACCGCAGTATAGTTTTCATCGGTGCGGTCATAAGCGGAAACCGTTTTCGTTTAAAAAGGCAATTGAAATATTTCGTCTTCCGCAGATCACTCCCGGAGGCCCCTCGCCTCACTGGCCACATAGCAACAGCGTGCGGGAATGTCGACGCAATACGCAAGTGAAGGCGGAACTGTAGCAGGTTGTGTGTGTGGCCGTGCGCATATAACATGAAAGCATCGTGGTCAGGGCAATAGCAACATTGTATCCTCGGCCGATGACATATAAGATAATATATCAGATATACCAGATACACTGATCCCAACCAGTGTAAAGACCAGCCGATGTCATCGGTTTTATCGCTGCTTGGAAAGTCGTGTAGTGGGCCGTTAAGTCCATACCGACACTGGGCTGACTGTGTGGTACTGGTGGTGCCTGACCGACATACAGGCCCCTATCGACTCAGAGGGTCCTCGGTCGGCGCGAAGGACCCTCTGGCTTGGAGCACCAGGCCCCGCGGGCCGGGACCCCTGATCACGACCCGCGGCCGACCTTTCGGGCCTTTCGGTCCTTCAGATATTGGAGCCCTTCATTCAGTCACGAATGGCCTTTTGAGTTCCTCAGAACCTGGAGGCAAGCGACAAGGGGCCGCGTGTGTTCCCCCCCCCCCCCTTGCGCCACCGGATCAGACATGATAAATGACCTCGGGTCCCCCCCCCAAACCGCGCTTCTCCCAGCATACCCCACACTGAGTCCGCCAGTACGTCACG